AAGTAACTGAAGATTTGATGGAAATAGCAAGATAGTTAGAATTAAAAGTGGAGCCTAAATATGTGACTTAATTGCTGCAATCTCATAAGAAATCATGAACGGATAAGGAGTTGCTTGAGATGGAATCTACTCCTAATGAAGATGCTGTGACCATTGTTAAAATGGCATAGAATTTAGAATATTACATGAACTTATAATCAAACAGTGGTAGGTTTTGAGAGGATTGACTTCAGTTTTTCAAGTTATATTGTGGGTAAAATGCTATCAAATAGCATTTTGCTGCAATCATCACATGCCACAGAGACATTTTTTGTGAAACGAAAAACAATCAATGCAGCCAACTTCACTGATACCTTATTTTAAGAAATTGCCACAGCCACCCCAGCATTCAGCAAACTTCTCCCTGAACAGTCAGCAGTTATGAGCATCAAGGCAAGAATTTCCACCAGCAAAGAAATTACAACTTGTTGAAGGCTTAGTAGAATATTTTTAGTAACAAAGTATTTAAAAATTACAGTGTGCAGATTATTTTTAAATATAATGCTATTGCACACTTAATAGACTACAGTATAGCATAAACATAACTTTTATATGCACTAGGGAATCAAAAAATTGTGTAACTCCCTTTATTGCAATATACTGTGGCAGCCTGGAACCAAACCTGCAGTATCTCCAAGGTACGCTTGTATTTCTGGCATAAGTTACATTCCTCAGCCCAAAGAGTACTTCCCTATGTGCATGATTTGGAATAAACTTTCAGTCACTCTTTAATTTCTGAAGATACACAATTCACAAAGTCTTAGCACCAGGTGTGAAAGAAAAGGATAAAGATACACATTAAACTTTGAGGTCTGTTTCATAGACTAGCTTAAGAAATAAAGTGTTGTGTCTTCTTTCTTACTCCTCAAGGATTTAAATACAGAAATTTGTTAAATTTTGTTTTTCAATTATCTTATAATCAAATTCTTTATGTGCTAAGTACTATATATTTTACAAACTTTAAATATAGCATTTGAGATCCCTTGTAGTTGTTTAGTGCTACTATTGATAAGAATAAAGCTACAATATTTCATTTAAAATAAGACATCATCAGTTTCAAGACAATCCTGATTTCTGCCATGTGAAATATTTTAAAAAGTAAATCTTAGAATCTAGTGACATTACAATTTATTGGAATTTTAATGATACTAGTATAAAATATAATCTATAGTCTGTAAAGCTAGAAGTAGAGGAATTTGTAAAACTAGACAAATTTGCATCTGGAATTAAAGATATTAGAGACTTTGAATTCTAAAAGCATAAAATACATTTTATGTTTTATGCACATAGCTATGTGCATCAAATTATTAAAGAGACTCACAAATATTTATCCTTATACTTGTCAGAGACTTTAAGATGTTAATAGCTGAAAGTAAAAATAAGCATTCTTAAAGAAATTGGGTTAACTAACGACTAATTAATTGCCCATATCAAGCCCCCAGAACCACCAAAGGGAAGGAAATTAAGCTTCTATTTTCTTCTGTTTTGAACTTCCCAGGTTCACCCTTTAATTTATCATAGAAGGGCCAAATTTATCAATGTCCAATAAAGCGTTTGCTATAGGCAATGTGGGTCTGTATAACTTTTGAAGATTACTGTATTATGTTTTAATTTTAGTATCTCACCACAATTCATGCTGCTTTCAAAATTTAGTCACCTCCCCAAATCCTGTGGACTCTTTTTATCATTTATTCATTGACCAAGAATGATGGAGCATTAATTCTGTGCCAGATACTCACTTAGGAAGTAGGGATAAAATAATAAGAAATTTTCTCCTTGTCCTCAAGTGAACAGTTTTACAGGGGAGACAGTTTCAGTCACACTGTCGCAGCATTTCTATGGTTTGTATACTTCATAGCGAGTCCAAATAATGGCCAAAAGGAAGAGATAATGATCTCTACTTTAGAGTTAATAGGAGAAGCTACAACAGCTGAGCCTTGAGAATGAAAAGGAAGAAATTTAGCAGGGCTATAAGGAGAAGGGATGATGGTGGCACTTTAGGCAGAGTGAACAGCATGGCACATTTTGTTTTTATGTGTGTCTCATCTCACAGACCTTCTAGAGTGAAGACCTCAAACTTTAGTAAAGCCTACCACCCAAGCCAGGGAAAGACAATGTTTAGCAAGTATGTTTTTTTTGGTTTTTTCCAGTAAAAATAAAATGAGGGATCTGGTGTAGAGAATATTGAAAATGGTCAGAAAATAGGTCAATGGTTCTCAAACTTTGGTAAGCATGAGAATCACTCGGGGTGCTCGTTCCTAAGCACGACTCTCAGAGATTCTGCTTCAGTAGGTCTGGAGTGGGGGCAGAAAAATTGCATTTTTAATCCCTTAGCCCCATGACTCTGACACAGGTAGTCCACAGAGCACAGAGGTATAGGGGAAAAGGAATTTGTGGATACTTATGTCCTGGTTCTTATCAACTACCTGCAGCTCAGCAAATATACCTTGAGGTGCACTCTGCCAGCCGTCAAAAAGTTTTGCAATCAAGGTTAACCTGTGTGGCTCAGGCTTGTAAGTTAATTTTCTGACTAATATGCTGAGAGAAAAATCTGCCTCCTGAGACTTAACAGGTCTTCTATATTTTAAAATGTTAGCTTGTTTTGCAAGGGTGGTGAAGCTGAAAAGTACTTAGAAAGCTCCAGGATTAGTCACTTCTCTTTTAAAAATGGTTTCCAGTGGTACGATACTTACCTTGCAAAATGAAAATTTCCACTGGAGACTTTTTCCTATATTTTATAATCATTGATAAGAATTGATGCCAACTCTACCTTTTTTAGACCTTGACTGAAACATTTTAAAACTGAGTTGAAAATCATCCTGGGCACACCTTTCATACCCACTTGCTCTAATTTAACTCCATTTGTCTTTCCCTTACTTATTCTTTATTTTCCTGAGCATTCCAGCTGTTAGCATTAAATCTAATTTTTGTATGTCAGTCCACGTCAAAGCAAGCCTTAATCCTTTTAATGTTAACCTATCATCAGCTCAGAGCTGCTTTATATTATCAGATATAACCACATTTCCAACCCTGAGGGCATGGAGTATGATTATGCATGCATGCACGCTAGAGATTTCCTGCAATACTACTTGGTGTATACTGGAATTCTATATGGTTTGGGTCACAATTTAACCCCAATCGAAGTGCTTTGTTTACAGAAATAGCAAAAGGCTTTTTTATAAGGTGGGAGCACTGCAGAAGTATCAGAAAAAGGACTGGCTCTCATATTGTCGTGTATACTTTTTAGTCTAAGAGAGATTAAAATGTTATGGACAAAGGTATACAGTTAATGACAGAAATGTTGAAATGGTAACCAAACAGGAAATCTTAAGATCTACAGCCTAACCCGCGCTTTGTCTTTTTGTCAATGGAGTTATACTATATCATTTACTTTCTTTTCTCCCTTGAGTGAAATAGGATTTCAAAACAAAGCAAAACAAAACAACCCTACTGTTTTTATCCCTTTCATGTAGACAATTATTTGGGGGGTAAGGGGAGGCTGTAAAAGAGTCCACTGTGTCTTGAAAGTTTGGCATAATTACGTTTTTTTTCTCTGCTGGTTTCTGACCAGATATACCTCAAATTTAGAAAGCTGCTCAACAGGGTATTGTCATTGGCTACATGGAAACAACTTGCAGTCAGGTACAGGTGACTTTTTAAAAATTCTACTAAGATATTTAGCTTTGTTATAGCAATACACTGATAAAGAAATTCTGTCTGTTTATATGGAAGATAAACATCATCGTCAAATGCAGATAGATACTATTGCCATTTTATTTTATATAATATATATATTTGGTATAATTGAATTAGAATTTTAGAAGGATTATATCTTAATTAAGTAAAAGAAGTGTTCAATATCTTGTAAATGAGTGGGAAGAGACATTATCAATAATCAAGTTTGAATGTCCAGTTAAATGTCTACCCTAAAAAGGCAACACATGGTGAAAAAGAATAAAAAAGAAAAATCTCTTTTATTTGTATTATGGACCTCAGTACTGAGGTTAAAAGAATAAGTCATTATTTTTTCCTAGAGTAGCTCACATCCTAAGGGGGAAGAATAACAGAAAATGTTAACTACACTGCTACAAGACAAGTAACTTCAAAGTCCTCTGAGACCTTAAGGGGAGAGTAATTAATTTTGTTTTGGAAATTGGGAAAGGCTTCAAGGGGGATATAATGTTTGAAACAAGTGCAGGTTCAATTTTCTTGTATTCCCCTTTTCATAATATTTCAGTACTAACCATAGAAAACTGGGAACAATAGTACAAACTGATATCTTTATGTATTTTTCTTTCTATACACGCTTCCCTTGCATAAAGACACCGATTACAAATACTGTCATTTTCATTTACAAAGGGCAGAAAAGCTGGGGTTAAGGTATTTTCCAAGGATACAGGGCACCTGTGATGAATATAGAAACAAAATCTCCTAAGTCAGTCGTCATTAGATCAATTGTTCAACATTGTAAATGTTGTCCTAGATTTGATGCCGGTCCCTCAATGACAAGTTTTGAAAAGAGGGTTCATAATCTGAGATCCCTAGAAGGAAAGAGTTAAAAGGAAGAGACTCTTAGAGGATTAGATTGATCTCTAGGGATTTGGAAACTAGGCAGAAGATCTGAAGATGAAAGGAAAGATTTGATTCTGTGCTAAATTACAAGTTTTGAAGGAAATTAGAGTGTAATTTTGTTCAGCTATAGATAAGAATCCACAGCCTAAATTAGTAAAGTTCTTATAACTATTATCTTTTAAAATCATAATTAAAAAGTATTTCTAAAACTATGTCAGTTGTGAACGATCACCTTGAGGTACATGCGTAACAAGAAAAACCTGAGACAGCGCAGCAGTAGCAACCAGTGCATATTAAACATCAGTTGCAAAAGGGGAAGTCTAAAAGGCATGTCATTACATTACTGTATGTCATTTCTTCTCAGTCACGAGAAGAGGGAAAGACATAAATCAAGGCTGTCATGCCTTGTTTATTTTGGCCTCACAAAACCATCAAAGTTCTGCTTTTTGGCGGAGCTCGTAGTGTGCCTTAGATTCTTCTCACCCTACACTTGAGAGGAAAGCTACATTTAAACAGGCCCCAAAGAGCAACATTTTGGTATCCCCCTGGAACCATTTGTTATACTTGACCCTGAGTCAGGCACTGGTAATACTCTCAACCCAGGTTAAATAAACTTGGCATATAGGCTAAGCCAATTAATGTGATTGCTGTCCACTGGTTAGAGGTTTCAAGAACATTCAGCCCTGCTGGGATAAAAGAGCATGGTCTTTCTTCCATGACCAAATGAATACTTGATTAACCTGGTTTCCAAGTGAATACCTGATTTCTCTCAGAGATATGCTTATAGAAAGTTAGAGTGGGCCTGTGGTAAAAATGGAGAATTAAACACACATACTGAACTCTGCATTCTCCCAGAAACTCTCAAACAACTGTCAAGGGATTGAGAGGAAGAGAGAACGGTGGGGGAAGTAAAAATGCTCCAGGGCAAAGGGACAAGAGGGGAGAAGGTAGTGGAATCTGAATGGCGGATGGTTGTGTGGTAAATGATTTAGCAGATCCATGAAATCGGAATAAATCCATCAGTGGAAAAAATTTAGAAGCACACTAATTGCCATTGCAGAATCTGCAAAGCTTCAGGGTTCTTGACCCCAATTATTCTAGAAGTAGGATACAGGTGGGACTAAAAAAACACTTGGATGCAAGCCTGTTTTTAAAATATCCATTTTATCTCTACTCCCTTTAGAAACCCCACTAAAATGACAGCCTCGGTTTCTGTTTGATTTGTCTTAAGGAACACACCAAGACGACCCAAACAAAAACCAACAAAACAAACAAAACATCTCTTTACATACTTTCTGTTAAAATCTTGTTGGGTACTTTTTTTTTTTTTTTTTTTTTTTAAATTACTATGCTTTAAAATTTTTCTTTTCTAGCTGTTTGTTGCTGGTATATAAAAATGCCACTGACTTTTAGTTATTAATCTTGTAATGGTAACTTTGACAGAACCTTAATAACTTTATTGTATTAATCCCCCAAATGATTAATAGTAACAATTCGGGCAGAATTCCTTCAGATTTCCTATTTTGTGGAAAACCATATTATCTCTGATTAATAATAATTTACTTTCCAATCCTTACAGCATTTCTTTTTGTTTTTTTTCTTATTGCACTGGCTATGATATTTAATCCAATGTTGAATAGCAATAGTTGTATAGTGAATGATTATAGTGATTCACCATTGATTACAGTGTTTGCTATAAAATTTCCATACATAACTGTTTCAGGTTAAATAAATTCCTTTTTACGGCTTGTCCACTGGGATTTTGTATCAAAAATGATTATTAAATGTTATCAAATGTATATTCTATACCTATTAAAATAATATTTTCTTTTTTAATATATTAATGTGATACATTACTTAATAGATTTTATAATGTTAAATTTAATGTTTATTATGTTAAAATTACATTTCTAGAGTATATCAAACTTGGTAATTATATATCATCTTTTTATACATTGCTGGGTTCAATTTATACTTTTCCTTTTTTAGAATTTTTTGTTCTTGCATTAATAAGATTGGCCTGTTTTTCCCCTTTCTTTTACTCTCTTTACTTTTGATAACAAAAGAAATTAAATATATAAACTAATTGGAAAACCTCTTTTATTCTGTTAACTGGAATTTCAGGTTTGGAGTTAACTTTCTTTGAATGTTTCTTTGAACTCTCCTGTAAAATTGTGTGAATCTGCTGTTTTCTTCATGGGAGCATTATGTACTACAAAAATTTTATTTCTTGACCAATTTTGAGTCAGTTTTGGTAACTTTTATAAGTGTTTTGTTCATTTCACTTAATTTTTCAAATGTGTTAACATTAAATTTACTTATATTTTCTTGTCATTTTGATCTCTGTAGCCTCTTTAGTTATACCTTCTTATTCATTCCTAATCTTTTGTGCTGTCTCTTTTGTTTCCTTAATCCATCTTGCCTGAGGTTTCTCAATATCATTAGTTTTTCAAAGAACCATTTTTGGTTTTGTTGATACAAAAGTATGAAGTTTTTTACTTTATGTTTTTCTGTTCTTGTCTTTATTATTTTATTTCTTCTTACTCTTACAGTTTCTGGGTTTACAGTTGTGCGCTACATAATGACATTTTAGTCAACAACAGAGTGCGTATATGATGCCCTTCGTAATGTAATAGAGCTGAACAATCACACAGTGACTTCTTAGCATTGTAACATAACACATTACTCACACGTTTGTTTGCAGTGATACTGGTGCAAACAAACCACTTTACTGCCAGTCACGTACAAGTATGGCACATCCAATTATGTACAGTACATAAGACTTGATGATAAAGGACTATGGTACTGGTTTATATATTTACTATACTGTTCAGTTTATTACTATTTTAGAACATATTCATTCTACTTATGAAAAAAAAGTTAACCATAAATCAGCCTCTGGTAGGTCCTTCAGAAGGTGTTCCAGAAGGCATTGCTACCACAGGAGATGACAGTTCTATGTATGTTATTGTTCTGAAGACCTTCCAATGGGACAAGATGTGGAAGTGGAAGACAGTGATATTGATCATTCTGATGCTGTATAGGCCTAGACTAATATGTTTGTGTCTTAGGTTTTAACAAAAAAGTTACAAAAATAAACCAAAAAAAGTTTGAATAGAAAAAAGCTTATAGAATAAAACTGTGAAAAAAGAGTTTGTACAACTGTGCAATGTGTTTTTGTTTTAAGCTAAGTGTTATTACAAAAGTAAAAATTTTTTTAAAAATTTAAAAATGTAAAAGTAAAACAGTTACAATAAGCTAAGATTCATTTATTACTGAAGAAAGAAAAATATTTTAAAATAAATTTGGTGTAGCCTAAGTATACAGTGTCTATAAAGTAGGATACAGTAATGTCCTAGGCCTTCACATTCACTTACCACTCATTCATTGACTCCCCCAGAGAAACTTCCAGTCCTGCAATCTCTATTTGTGGTAAATGCCCTAAACAGGTGTAGCATTTTAAAATCTTTTATGCAGCATTTTTACTTTACCTATTCTATATTTAGATATGTATATATATACAAATGCTGTTGTGTGACGATTGCCTACAAAACTGAGTACAGCAACATGCTGTACAGGTTTGCAGCCTCCAAGCACTAGGCTATCCTATATAGCCGACGTGTATAGTGTGCTATACTATCTAGGCTTATGTAAGTACACTTTATGATAGTCACAAAATGACAAAATTGCCTAGCAATGCATTTCTCAGCATGTATCATCATTGAATGAAGGGAAGAATGACTAACTTTTGCTGTTCTTTTTGTAATGCCTTAAGACACATTCTTAGGTGATCAAGGTTTTTCTAATACAAACACTTTAGGCTTTAAATTTCCCTATGATTTTAAATTTCCCTTCTGTTCCAAAAGTTTTGAAGTGTTGTATTTTTATTAATGTACAGATGCTTCTACAACTATTATTTATGCTATATTTTTGATTCATGGTTGCTTCTTTGCATGTGTATTAATAGTTTCTATCGTAACTTCATAATATTTTATTTGAGGCCTGCAAATAAAATACATTTCTTCATAACAATAGTATCTGGGGTATTATCAACTTTCAAATTAAATTTCTAGTTAAATTTCTTTAGGCATTATTAATTTCAGTGGTAAAATAATGGGAATATGGCTGGTGGTTAGGACATCTCAGGGGGAACTTTTTTCCTTTATTTTTGCTCCATGCAAAGAGAAGGAATATCCTTCCTGCTGTGGGTCACATTTGCCTCTTGTTTACCCACTGTGAGTGTCATGCTTTGAAGGGTCCTGGTTTCATGCAGGTATTTCTGATCCTACCTTTTCTACTCTGGCACCTGGTTTTCACTTCTGTTTTTAAAGCATATGCCAATTAACATCCAGACTTCAGGCTATAACAATTGGCAGATATTCCGAAGGATCAGGCAAGCTCTAGGATTCAGCTAATCCTCATGGAATTATACTTTCTCATTGTTTGTTTCCTCTAGTTCCAGTTCTTTACTTCCAGTTCAGCAATGTTCCAGAAAAAAAAAATTAAATATTTACTTCATATTATTTTTCTTATTCCTGGAAGGATATCTCTGCACATGTATTCCGTCATACTTCTGGAAACTAAAAACCCTATTTATGACACTTTTTATTAAAATGTATTAAAAAACTCAGATCAGTTTGCTGTAAACAGCAGAGACATAACTAGAAACTCGAGAAATATGATGATTTTTCTGCTTAGTTTAATTTGGTAGGTAAATCACATCCTCAAAGCCATAGATTATTTCTGCCTTTTCATTCTGCCTGTCATATCGGCTTCAATCCAAAGCTATCTATCTCCCTGACATGGTCACAAAACGGTACCAGTACCCATAGAGCTGCATACTTTATGTCCACATTCAAGAAGAGAAGGAGCCAGTCCCTTCCCTAACAGTCATATGAGTTTTCTGACTTGTATGGTTCCCAGTGGGCAACCACTGAACCAAATCCTGTAAGAGAAATATCATGCTTTGATTAACTCAGTCCTGAGTAACTTAAAACACTTATTCCTTGTTTAATGTCCAATTCCTTCCTGGAGCCTCTGTTGCTAAGTGTAAAAAATATTTTTTCATTTTAAAAGAAAAATTGTGATGCATTTAGTCCCAACTCAAGGTACCTGATGATTTTATATAACAAACTATGCAAATAAGTGTACATAATTTTTAAAAGTCCAATAATTTGAAAGCAAAAATTCAAATTCAGGCATAAAATAGAATATACTAAGGGTTTACCGATTTATTCCTAGTCTTATTTTTGTGCCATTTTCTTCATCGCTTGTTAAACCTCTTGGGACTCTGGTGATCTTGCACTTAAACTACACTGAAAAATCACAGCACACAAAAATACTTTTAGGATAAAATAAAAGCTAAGAAAATGAAAACTTTGAAAGATGCTGAAATAGTGTAGGTTCACAACAGACTAAGCATTGTTAAAGCTGCAAACCTCTATCCCTCTTATTTGGCATACGTAAGCAAAGTCAATTGTTTTGTTTTTGCTAGACATTGTTCAAAATTCAAATTAAATTCATATGAAATTGTCTGACTAGAAAATGTTGTGTTGAGTAAATTGAACATGTCTTTGAGTAAACTGAATATGTCAATGTAAAAAATAATATTTATTATTTTTAGCATTTATTATTTCGATTACTTCTATTTTTTTATTTAATGTGTCTTGGAGTAAACAGGAAAAGCCTCACATGGAAAAAATGAATTGTCTGAAAATGACATGACTTTTCAAGAACCGCTATAGCAAAAAACAAAACATTTTATGGGAGGTAGGTCTGTACTGTGGCAAAGGAGATGGGTTTACTTTGAGTAACTGATCCTATTCAGGGCATGTCCTTGAAGATAATCTCCCCAAACTTCATGGTCACTACACAAAGGGGAAGAAAGAGAATGAATATCAATGAGATAATCATCATGCCCACTTCAGCCAATTTTCTTGCAGTATTCATCTGCATTAAATTTAATCCACACTGAGATTCCACTCTCATCAATAACGGGACATTTAATTTCCTTAATCATTAGGGATCCTCCCTCTCTCCATGCGATCATATAAATCCAGAAAACCCAGGTATATATATACTGGTTAGTCACAGCTGGTCGCTGGTATTGACACTGTTCCTTCCACCCCCTAATGATGCTATCAAGCATTATCTTCCAATATTCATTAAGCACTCAGGTCTAGGTAGACTCAGGAATGAACCCCTCAGTCATTCACTCCATCAACTCCAGACCTTGCCTCTGCTCACCAGACTCCAATATATAATGCCCAGCTTCCTTGTCTCACTCCTGACCTTCTTCCCATTCTTGTTCTGTTTCTTCTTGTTAGCTTTCCTAAAGCTTAGCTTCCCATTTTCTACTGCATTTTTCATTTTTGAATAAAAAACAGCTTTATTAAGATATGATTCGCATGCTATAGTGTTAATCCATTTGAAGTATATAATTTAGTGGTTTTCAGTATGCTCATAGAGTTGTGCAGCAATCTCCACTATCCATTTTAGTGCATATTTATCATCCCCGAAAGAAATTGCTCATGCATTAGCAGTTACTCCCCATTTTCCTCCAGTTTCCCCACCCTCTGAGGTAATAAGCAACTACTTATCTAATTTTCTGTTTTAATAGGTTTGTCCATTCTGGACATTTCATATAAATGGAGACATATAATATACACTCTTTTGAATTTGGCTTCTTTCACTAAGCATAATGATTTGCAGATTTCATTCTATGGCATATATTAGAAGATAATTCTTTTTATGACTGAGTAATGTTCCATTATATGAATATTCGACATTTTATTTATTCACCAATTGATAGGTTTGGAGCTATTATGAATAATGCCATGAACTTTTGTATAAATGTCTTTGTGGGGACATATGTTTTCTTTCTCTTGGGTAAATTCCTAGTAGTAGAATTGTTGAATTTTATGTGAAGTTTCACTTTTTAAGCAACTGCTAAGTTGTTTTCCAAAGTGACTGTGCTATTTTCTGTTCCTACAAGCAATGTTATCAGGGTTCTAGTTTCTCCACATCCTTAACAAAACTTGTCTTTTGAATTATAGCCATTATAGTGTGTGTGTAGTGATATGTATTGTATTTTTTAAATTTTGAAGGCAGCCAGCTTGGCCAGAAACAGCTGGGTGCCTGGAGAGCCTCCTCAGTACAAGAAAAGAGTAAGTGAGAGATCCCCAGAGGCCCACACTCTCACTGCAGACTACTGCAACCCTAGCCCCAGGAGAGCCCTTCAACTCTTGCAGGCCCTGAGACTATAAGAGGGAGCTGCCTGGAGACCACATGACAGCATTGCTCCAGAAAGGGAGATCACACTCAGTCCCACACACCTCCACGTCCTAAGCAGCTACAGCAAGATACCATATGCAGACCCCAATTCCCACCAGACTGCATCCTGCCCAGGAGCCCAACAGCCCCTTCATCTCCACATTGCTGATCCCCCACTGGCATGCTCCTGCATCCACCCAGTGGGCTGAGTGGCGTGACATCAATTGAACCCAGCTGAATGGCGAAGCCCTCAGCACTCTAGCATACACATGGGCAGTGCAGCAGCTCACTAGGGGGGCTGCCCCCAGGAAAAAGGGAGACAAAACTTGCACTCACCAGAGCCTGAAACCTGCCTTCTGGAGACTGCTGCTATTGACAGCTACCCTACTCCCTCCAGTAGCTGGGCTGAAACGCACTTGGATCTGCCCTGAGGCTAGTTTCTCCCCAGCTGCCATTGCCACTACTGCCGCTTCTGGGAACTGAAGTGCTCACTGCTGGAAGCAATCCCACCTTCCCAGCAGGAGGACCATGGCACACTTGCATGTCCCCTTAGAACTGGCTTTTCCCATTATTGCTGCTGCCACCAGCATAGAAGGCCAGAGTATGAGCTCTCCAGAGCCTGAGAGCTGCCTGCCAGCAGCTGCTGCCACTGACAGCAATCTCACCCATGCTAACATGCATGTGCCCTGAGGATAGGCTCTCTCTTCTTACCACCAATGCTACTGCTACCACTTGAGCACTTCACCTGAGGACCTAGGGATCACCCCATCCTGCCCACCATAGGCTACTCCCATGCACACAACCAAGGAGACTAAGTACAGGCGCACCCAGCCTGGCACCATGTTCTAGTGCCTCAGCATATTGCCCCAGGGCCTGGGGATTACCTCACCTCACTCATCACTGCTAGCATCTGTGAACTCCCTCTGGGGGCCAGAATACAGGCTCACTAAGCCTGCTGCTGTCACCACAGCTAGCACCTATCTGCACATGCCACCAGTGGGCCTAGGGACTGTCCTGCATAGCCCATCAGAGCTGCCACTAATACCAGTGTATGCTGCATGGAACCCATCACAACTACTTCCATTGCCCATGCCACATAGTGTCCAGGGGCATGAGGAACTACTCTCTCACTGCTACTACTAAAACCTGAGAAAGCCACCTGGAGGCCCAAGAATCTGCCTGCTTGAACTTGCTAACACTTGTGCCCACGTATATCACCTGGGGGCCCAAGGACAGGCATGCTTGGTCTGCCACTGCCACCACTGGGGCCTGAGGAGTGGCCCGTGTAGTGTCCTCATCCCGAGCAAAACTTCACCACAGCCTTAACTAACAACTACAGCCTAAGCCACTGAGGAAATCACAGATACCAGAGATACTGTTGACAGTCAGAGAAATTATATAGAGATTATACTACTGCATATATCTAGAATCAAAGCTAAAGTGCCCTACCAAACTAACATCATAAATACATCTTCAGGAAAGTCTTCTCCTACAAAAGCCAATCCAAAAAACTGGAAAAAGAAGTGACTGCTGTACCAGATGCATATATATCAATGTAAGGACACAAGAAACATGAAAAAGACAGAATATATGACACTTTCAAAGGAGCACAAAAATTTTTTAGCATCAAGTTGGAAAGAACCAAAGAGATAGATACCATTAAAAAGAATCCATCAGAAATCCTGGAACTGAAGAACTCAATGAATGAAATAAAAAAGTCATGTGAACATTTGAGAACTTCAACAATAGACTAGATAAAGCAGAAGAATTCCAGAACCTGAAGACAGGTCTTTTGAAATAACCAAGAAAGAAGGAAAGACAGAAAGAAGGAAAGAAAGGAAGGAAAGAAAGAAGGAGGGAAGGAAGGAAAGAAGGAAGGAAGGAAGAAATGAAGGAAGGAAGGAAGGAGGGAAGGAAGGAGTGAAGGAAAGAAGGGAGAGAGAAAGAGAGAGAGAGAGAGAAGGAAGAGAGAGGAAGGAAGGAAAAAGAAGAAAGAAAAGAAAAAATGAACAAACCCTGTGTAACATGTGGTATACTATAAAGTGACCAGATATTTGAATTTTCTGTGTCCCACAAGGCAAAGAGAAAGACAAAGATACAGAAAACCTATTTAACATAATATCAGATGAAAACTTTCCAAGTTCAGCAATATATTTAGACATCTAGATAAGAAAGCTCAGAGCTCTCTAAATAGATACAACCCAAAAAGATCTCACCATGGCACGTTACAGTCAAACTGCTAAAAGTCAAAGACAAACAGAGAATTCTAAAAACAGTAAGAGAAAAGCATCTAGTTATATATAAGAGACCCCCCTCATCAGACTGGAATTACACACCTGCAATTCCAGCACTTTGGGAGGCCAAGGCAGGTGGATCATGAAGTTAGGAGATTGAGACCATCCTGGCTAACATGGTGAAACCCTGTCTCTGCTAAAAATACAAAAAGAAATTAGCTGGGCATGATGGCATGTGCCTGTAATCCCATGTGAGGCTGAGGCAGGAGAATTGCTTGAACCTGGGAGACGGAGGTTGCAGTGAGCTGAGACTGTGCCACTGCACTCCAGGCTGGGTGACAGAGTAAGACTCCATCTAAAAAAAAAAAGAAAGAAAGAAAGAAATGAAATGCTTAAAGCAGCCCTACACTTGGAAGTGAATGGTTGATATCTACCATTATGAAAACACACATAAGTATAAAACTCACTAGTAGAGCAAACACACAAATAAGAAGGAGAAAGGACTCATCTTACCACTACAGAAAACCACCAAACTACAGTGACAAATAATAAAAGAGAAAAGAAAGAAACAAAGGATATACAAAACAACCAGAAAACAATTGACAAAACTGCAGGAATAACCCTTTACTTACCAATAATAACCTTGAATGTAAACAGATTAAATTATCCACTTCTAAAATATAGACTGGCTAAAGGGGTCCAAAAACATACGATCCAATTCTATGCTGCCTACAAGAAAATCATTTCACCTGTAAAGACACATATAGGTTGAAAATGAAGGGATTAAAAAAAAACTCCATGCAAATAGAAACCAAAAATGAGCAGGAGTTACTATACTTATGTCACATAAAAGAGACTCTATGTCAAAATAGCAAAAAGAGACAAAGATGGTCATTAGATAATGATAAAGGGGAAGACTGAGCAAGAGAATATAATGATTCTAAATATATATGCACCCAACACTGAAGCCCCCAGATGTGTAAAGAAACATTATTAGATCCAAAGGGAGAGATAGATTTCAATGCAATAATAGTTGGGAACTTCAACCCCAATCAACACTAGACAGATCTTCTAGGCAGAAAATTAACAAAGAAACATTACATCTAAAGTGAACTTAAATTTCACTTTAGTTCAAATAGACTTAACAGACACCTACAGAACATTTTATTCAACAGCTAGAGAATATACATTCTTCCTCTTGGCACATGAAACATTCTCCAGGTCATATGTTTGGCCACAAAATGAGTCCAACAAATTTTTAGAAATCAAATTTATACCAACTATCTTCTCAGACTACAGTGAATTAAAGCTAGAAATTAATAAAAAGAAGAACTTTGGAAGCTGCAAATACACAGCCATTG